ACTAAGCCAACGCTACGGAAAAAGTGGAGTGGTTGGGGGACCCAGAGTCCATGGTGGGTATGAACTATGTGAATAGGCGGGTTCTGAGAACCCCCTGCCTGAATTCACTACGTTCAATTACCCACCATAGACTCCAGTCAGTAAAAATGACTATTTTGAACTGTAGACAGAGTCAGGTGACGGGTTTCCGAGCAAACAGAAAATGATGAAAAGTTTTTCCCAGTCCGGGATGATACTCTCTATAAACACAACTCTCACCTAGTTAAAACCCAAGAAAGGGTGGTGTCTTACCTTGCCTGTGCCGTTCCCGGAGCAAAAGCCAAAACGCTGCTATGGTGACGGGGTTTGGTGTGTCCGAGAAAGCTAGACCCAAAAGACAATTTAGGGGGTAGGATGCTTTCGAGTAAAGACCAAAACAGTCCTGCATGAGGGCATAGGCCGAGAAGCGAGACCTGAAAGCTCAATAGATTGCAGACGGTAAAAAAATCTGTCTGCAAAATTGCTGAGACTGACTCATGGCCTATGTGCAGGAACCCTTGTGATCGTTTGGGCTGGTCAGCAGCCACAGTCTGACCCACTACGACAGAACCCAACCTAAAGAGGCCCTCCTCAATGGATTGGATGTTTCTAAAGTAGTAGTTGATAAAGACGTTCTCTAGAAGCCTGCCTTTAGTAAAATGTCCAGGGAGGAGCCTAACGCTAGTGCTAGTGAGCAAGCAACCGCACGGACCTCATGTGCTCGTACTTGGTGTCTCTGCAAGTTCTGTGTTGAGGAACCATAGACTTCTAACACAGTCGCAGTAATCCACCTGGTGATGGAAGTCGGGGAAACTGGCCTGTCTTGCTTGCCTTGGCCGTAACACAAAAAAACATGTACTTGGCACCCCGTCTCGAATTGTTAGTATGGTTTTCGTAGCAACTCAGTGCTTAAACCGGGCAGAGAAGCAATTCCTCCTGATCCTCCAGGCCGACAATATTTGACAGCCAGGGGATGAGATCGGCTGAGGATTGTGTCCTGGGATTTGGTTTTTCGCGAGAAACCTGATTCGTGTCTTTAGCACAACTTGCTTGTCTATAAGGACGGCACACTCATCCAAGGACAATCCCAGTTCTGACCGACGCCTACCTGAGGCGATAGGTAGACTGTTTTCCATGTCAAAAATTTGAGTGGTGCTGATCGGAGAGGCTCTAAAGGCGGTCTGCTTAGAGCAGACAACACAACCGACAAATCCTAGTTGGGCAGTTTCCTTGTTCAGGGTCTCGGATTCTGATTATGGAAAGCAGTAAAAGTCTCCTAATAATAGGACAATCAGCAAGTCTTGTTCCCAAAGTGTTCTCAATGGTGGGGGACAAGGCCGACCTGTAGCCATTGATCGCTGTGTAGGACAAACCCACTTCATCAAACAGGTGGACGAAGGAGTCTGCTACCTAGCCAATAGAGGGATGGCATGCATCAATCTCCCTTCCACTCCACCAATCAGTGTATGCTCGCCACAACCAAAGCAGCATTGGTAGAATCCCTGTTCGCCCTGGCCAGGACGTTGGCAGCCTGCTTAGACAAGACTTTCATCTGTGCGAGTCTACTGAAAGTCTCTATGCGTGTAAGTGATACACCGCTGGGCTCATTGGTAGTGCGCCGTCCGGTTGGGACAGCAGGACCGGGACAAGGCGTCCCTGGCCCAGACTCGTGGAGTTGGCAGGAGTGTTAAGTATGTCAAGAGCTTGGTGTTCCAAGGTGTGGCAAACAGGTCTATCTTTGAACTGTCCCACAGCCAAAACAGCCTGGAGGCTACCCACTGGGGTATCTGCCACTATGTGTTCTGGAGACGGAGCAGCCTTGAAAGGGCGTATGTCAGACTGTTCCTCACCCCTGGAAGGTTGCATGCGGTTAGCTCCACATAGTATTCCAGGCACCAAAAAAGAATTTGCTCTGCTAGGACTGACAATGATGGGGAACACATCCCCCTATTTGTTGATGTAGGAGACCACCGATGTGTTGTCTGTGCGGAGCAGGACTCTGTGGTTTCGAACTACGGGTAGAAAGTGTGGTAGTGCTAAGTACACTGCTTTCAGTTCAAGCCAGTTGATATGGCAGACTCGAATCCAATGCGGAGCCATATACCTTGGGCTTGTTCGTCCAACCTTGGAGGGAGGCATCTGTTACCAGAGTCATAGCTGCGGCGAGTGGGTCCAAGGGGACCTCCTGTCCGAGGTTGGCCAGTGACGACCACCAAGGCAGGCCTTCCTTCGCTTGGTTCGAGATCAAGACCCGCCTGTCTAGTTCAGCTTGGGGAACTACCCTTTGAACCGAGGTCATCGTTAGCCTTACTTGCTCAGCTAATAACCCTTTGTTTGGGTTGTCTAGGTATGGATTGATGTGTACCGACGTTTAGTGAAGCAGCAGCACCACCTGTTCCATCCATTCTGGTGAAATGTGGGGAGCTGTGCATAACCTGAAGGGGGAGCGCACCCAAGGTTCGAATACTTGGTCCAGCTGGACGAATTAGAAGCAGATGGCAACTCCTTGGGTGCATCGGTATGTGCAGGTAGGCCCGTGTCACACGCAACATAATATTACCGTAATTGGTATAGTACAGGTGTGATGGTTCAAATACCAAAATGGCAACAGTAACAGAAAGACTTCCCTGGCGACGATGATAAAACACAAACACGGAGCCAACAGATGAGGTTTCAACTGGTACTGGTATTATTATACTCTGCAAACATCAAGTACAATAACGCGGTAAAACTCCACTACTCCAATAACTAGATACTTAACTCCAATACAATTCAACGAGATCTCCGAACTGAACTCAGTGCTGAACAACTCCCCTATATATACCCCCACTGTCTATAAATAGACCATTACATCAGCATACATAATGAGTCTGGAACTTACTACAAATTTCTAGAATGTTCCATTACCTTCTATTGCCTCCTACAGTGTTCTATTATCTATTCAACCATTTTCTAAAAAATATAGAATATTCCACCCAGATACAGTACGGTTCTAGAACATTCTCAGTGACACGGAAGTGGTAAATAAGTCGTATGCGACAGCCCGCTTAAGTCTAATGAGGATAGCCAGTCGAAATGGTGGATGGAGAAAAGAATGCTGCATGGCGTCTCCGATGCGGAACCGATCGAGGAGCACGCACTGATTCAGTCTGCCTAAGTCCAGAACTAGACGCCCGCCACCTGTAGATTTGGTACTACGAACACATTTGAGTAGAAGACTGGACTTAATGCCAGCTGATTTGCCTTGTGTATAGCGCCCTTTTCCAGCAAACTGTCTACTTCCTGTCTGATTGCTTCCGCCTTGCGGGAGTCTCCTGGCAGTGCCCCCAATGAGGAAGACACTGACGGGGGAGATGGAGATTTCAGCGATATCTGTAACCGTGTGTCAACACCTGGAAAGTCCAGGGATCGGTCACCCACTGCCTCCAAACCGGGATACATCGGCGCAATCTGTGTGTGACAAGGATATGTGGTCATTTGGGTCGGCAGGAGGGGAGTCGATACCCACGGCGGTGCCCAGACTCAAGGGTAAATTCCTGATTCCGGTTCCGCACGGCGAACCCTGGCTGGCTGATCCCGGGGGAGGGGGGCAATGCGTGTCCTGTCCCAATTGCTCTGCCCCAAAATCGGAGGCTTGGCAAAAACTCTGAACCCTGCACGCAGTCATGGCAAAAATAGCATTTCGGATCCGGGTTCCATGCTGGCAAATTCTTATTATAACCAAAAAAATGAGGAGACAAAACTGGCGGCAAGCCTCTGGTGCTGTCATCATTACATCTATCCATTTCTAAATACATTGGTAAAACATAAAAATGAACACACCATGCATGAGGAAAGCGAAATACAGTTGGAAAATGTGACACACAAAAACTGACAACGTGGTTAAATTGTGTCGCCGGGTTTTATTTTCTTATATTATACACGCAAAAGGGAAAACGACATGGGGGTAAAAATAATAGGAAAAACTTATCCTACCAGCCACAGTGTAACGTGGATTGTGATATAAGGGAAAATCTTGGAGTCATGGGGCTTCCCCTGACCTAGATTTATCTCTCCATTATTGTCAGAATCGCTGATTAATATAGTCATTTTGACTGACGAGAGTCTATGGTGGGTAATTGAACGTAGTGAATTTGCGTGATTTAACATGTGTTGGTGACACATTCTTCTGTGTTCCCGGAACAGTTACATTCTTTGTGATGGTACAATTGTTCATAATGGCGCCGGCGAACATATTCTGAAACTTGTCATTTTCGGTTCTCATTGGTGAGACAGGGTCAAGTTTATTTATATCTTGATCGTGAGGTATTCATGTCCGTTCTTCTCTTTTATGCTGATAAAAAATTAGCCAAGAAGCTCATTCAACTCGACCGGCGGTATGTCTTCGAGACGTCGCAATTCTCTCTTCCACTCGACACAGTTCGGTGGTTTTAACGGTACTTCTGGTGTGTTTTTATAAAACTGCCCACTTCGTCCAGAACTTCATTTTCTGGTGCTGGTCCAAGAATTTCATCAAGTTGGCTCTGTCCTATAGACCGCTGAGATCTTTGTTAATGTATAAAAACAAATTTTTGCATGACATTAAACACTCCTTGCATGATGTAATGTTTTCAAAGCATATTTATTCCTTATTGTGAAGCTATCAAAAGAACAGTCAAATATTGTGAATACAGAATGGCCAATAAATTACAAAATCTCCATTTATATTTTCAATAAATACACCATTGTACTTGATAGTTATACAAAAGAGAATTTCAAGATCTACAGATGTGTACAGATGTCAGGTGCTAACCATTTCCCACAGTGAAAGATATACATGAACCCATCATAAGTTCAATTACAAATCAGGGAGCTCCAGCTCTCACAGTGGACCAACATCATTCATGTGTACTAAAAACAGAAACAATTATCATTTCAAAATATCTCAAACTAAGAAGATAGTGTACACTCTTAGAATAATTCATACATAGCTGTCAGTTGATTAGAGTCTCCCTGATGAACTATAAAACCATGCTGCTCTGGTACAAGTTATGGCAACACTGTGCATGCATTTTACATATCCCAATGATGACAAAAAAACAATACAGTGCCTCCCACCACCAGAATCAAGGGCTTGCAATAACAATTTACAAATTAGTTCCATGAGTTGTTGAATGAAGGACTGGTTGCTGTGAACCTAAAGTATGATCGCTAACCATGAGAAAAGTTAATTTACAGTAAAGTATTTATTTATCACTGTTGGAAAGAACATGGTAAATATCATTTAAACTTGACTCTACACACTGAACGAATTCAGCTGCATTAGGTGATGATGGATATGAAGTTACAGTAACACCAACTCTATCATCGCCAGCTTGGTATCCAACTCCTAAGCCATCAGGTACAACTGGTGCAAATCCGCCTATTAGTATAGATGGAGTAGTCACAGTACTTGTTGAAAGTATGATATGATTGATTGCTTTATATGCCTCATCGTTGAACATAGCTGATTGTTGTCCACATTGGTTTGCTAAAACTCTCAATGCAAACAAATGACGGTCCCATCCTTGGCCTGAAAGCAATAAATATATTATCGTTTAGTGAGTATGTCACATTCATAAAAATGTTACCAATATTATTACTTAATTATAACAATGCATACAAAATGATGATTCAGTATGAGTGTCAATGTTTTGATCATCAATCATTTCTTTACAACTTGTATAGATTACTTTTAAACTGCATCTTTTTAAGATGATGATCAGATTTCTGAATGCAAATTACACTCTATAGTGATTGCATCTGACCGAAGTGCTCCACAAAATTTTATTTTTCTACTGTACATGTGTACACAAAAAACAGATGTGAACATAATATAAGCATGCTTTCAAGGCAGACAATGGTGTAAATTCATTTCCATATTTTGGCTGTTTCGTAATAGTTACTGGTTGCACACTCGTATCATATTCTAGAGAAGGCACCTCCTTTTTCCATGTATTATAGCAATAGACGTTGGTAAATCTTAAATAAATAAATATTGCCAGGGTAGTAATCACAATGCTCCAAATTGCCATATGCATTATTTTTAGATATATGTTGACAGACTCACCCATAGCTGCATCTTTGGTCAGTTCATTATGTTTCTTGGAACAAGCAGTCAACAATTGTCTTTTGTCTTCAATGCCGACCCCAGGTTTATTGAAGGCTTCACAGCAAGCTTTGGTTTCTATTGTTGCTGATCTCAGAGTTTCTGTACGTCCATGTTTAAATGCAGCTGTACTACATGATTCATATGTGGCAACAGTTTTTCCTCCACTCATTCTGTAGTAACCCATCTAATAAAGACACATAATGTGCAATCAATATAAGCAATGATTTGTATACTCTTGTCGTCATCAGCAATATTACGGTTACTACAAGAACGGTTAGGAAACTCTATTGTTAGATATGCTGAATATCCATTGACTTCACTTTGATGCATGTTCTACCACTATGACGTAATCACTATGCTATCTCCATTCGTTTTCCATGTGTTTCCACTAAATTGAAGAAATAGAGCTCATTAAGCCGAAAGATCGACATAGAAGTATCACCGACTTCTGTGAGAATGTTGTGTGATACTCAGGGTTTCATTGTTCTCTAAAAAAATTAAAATACTGATAGTTTGTTTATTATATATTATATACTAACTATATACAAGGCAGAATTTGTGATGTTGAAAAAACTTGTCAACAAATATGCCCTAAGTTGAATTGATGGGTGGCCAATCAGGCACAATCTTGTGTGTAGCTTCGCAATGACTCAAAAACAGAGACAAGCGTTCACATGAGTTGTCAAAAAACCAACCCAGTTTTTGTCACTAGTGCATAATTAATAGAAATAAGGTAACTTGAAACTAGCCTGATATATTGCAATCGATAAGAGTGAACAACACAACTTATAAAGTATCGGTATATTCTAACCTGGAAAGAAAGTTGCATCATAGCATCTGGACTTATTTTGTATTTCTTGAAGACTTCTTTGTTGAGATTTACATTTTCATGCAGATTAATTCCCAAGGTTTGGGTGGTCTTATTATAGATGTCTTGTGCTTCATTGATTCCATGCTGAATTGCAGGAGTCAACTTCCAGTCCAACTGGGTGAAAACCAAAATAAGCATGAATTTAATTTACCTAAACACCTGAGGTAGGTGATAACACAACTATCTAATCCTACCAGTCAGTGTTTCTAGCTGGAGAAACTTAAGACACATGACAAGTCTTATTATGAACATCACCACCATAATTTGCTCATCAAGCACATCATAAATCATGTTGGAAACTGAATTTGTGTTTTTGTGCTTTGAAAATAGTGATAATGAGTGTGAGACCAGCTACATCATTGACTGACTGTTTAAATCACACTCGAAAATAATGCATTCCATCTCCCAAGATCTGATTGACAACATTGTTTCAATGTTGATTTTGCTAGGCATACAGCAAACAACAGACATACATGACAAAGCTCATACTGAATAAGAACAGATAAAAGAAATGCAGTTTTGTATGTACTTTGCTTATATGTCACATCACATCAAAATCACAAAATTACTTTACCATACCTTTCTCACATACTCTGAAGAGTTAACATCAGCAGGTGTAGAACCAGGTTCCACAGCTGGTCTCTTCTTGCTATCCTCAAATGTTTCATTCATGAACCTGATAACAGCAACACCATCTCCCCAGGAATGTTCAAAGTTGACAGAGGCGATCCCATCTTTACATATAATGAGTTGAAAGCATTTGTCAAACCACCTGAATAAGAATTAATAGACAATTATGCAAATTTTAGTTAACTCATTTGAAAATCAGAGTTTCCTAATACTTCTTGACAACATTAAGTGCTATAAGTTTTCTTCATACATCTCCTAAAACAATGTGAGAATTTTGGGACTTGTCAACAACAGCATCAAACGTCTGAACAAAATCAAGAATTTGTGAACACATACAAAAAATAAAACCAAAGTCAAAGAAATCAGATGATTATTAGTACTATAACACATTTATCATGACACAAACCCACTCCATTGGTGTTTTGGTATGAATTTATACATATAAGTACTTGATGTATTTCATTGAAAGGACATAGAAATTTGTTTTTAAAAATAAAAAATGTCAGCAAATATCTGTATTTTTAATGAACCAGGCAAAAGTCTGTAACTATAAAATTAATCATCTATTGTAAGCCGAATATCACCAGCTTATATTCAGTATGAATATTACACCAATAAGTATACATATTGCAATTTAGAATTGTGACAAAAAGTGATGTTAAAAGTATAATATGTTTGCTATCCTGAGTGATTCTATAGATAAACACAGTTACTGAATAGCCATGAAAGTTTGACAATTAGTAAGGACTTTTATTCAACTTGATATTTTAGTCTTAAACAAGTTTTTGACAAAACAATTACATGCATTAGTATAACATTATTGTGGATATCAGTAAATAATTAATAAGTATTTTAAATTTTTGGTTTGTGGTGGAACACTGTTTACAAATGTGAATATCAATATGCAATATCAGACCAGCTCAAGTTTGGTAGGCCCAAGAGCTTAGGAATTTCATTGGTCTTCTGACCTGAAGGTTATTTATGTGTCA